GACATACCACAGAGTCTCTAAATAGGAGGTTCCCATCAAATCCCTCCATCCGTGCTCTGTGTTCACAGCTGAAGATGAGGCAGAGCAAGCGCAAAACAAACAAAAAACACCATAGGGTATTGAAGACATCAGAAGAAGCACCTCTCTAAATAAATTATGCAAAGCACATATGAGTTCACAGAGACTGGAGCAGGAAGCACGGTGCCTATGTGGTCTGTGTATATATTAGTAGCTTAATATTTTTATGGGATTCTTGAAAAATGATAACAAGTGGGTCCCTAACTCATTGTGTCTACACTTGGGGCCTGTTGTATTGTCACGTACAGCTTTGATATGACACTTTCTGCTTTATCTTATATTTTGTCTACCATGTTTTGTACTTATCTCTGAGAAGCCTCTTCTTTTCTAATGAAAGACAGAAAGGGAAGCAATTTGGAGGGGAGGGCAAATAGTTACAGAAAACTGAGATGAATAAAGGAAGAGAAATATAATATTCTGTATAAGGAAATAGTCTATTTACAATAAATGAAAATATGAAATCAATAAAAAAAAAACAAGCAAAAACCCCACAAAACAACCAAACAAGCCTAAATAAATAAGTAAACAAGCAAAAAAACAAAATAAAACAGTGGAACAGGTGTGAGGGTGGGGCTGTCTGTGAAGAGTTGGTTACAGGGATACTGATCAGAAAATATTTTATACAATATTTTATACAATAAAGCAGCTAAAATATGGAAAACTAGAAGATGAATGTATGCAATATGCAACTCTAATAGCACATACGCAATACCATAAGGTTACAAAAAATGAATTTTAAAAGTTTGAAATTAATTGTGCACATTTAAGATATTGCCAGATATTGCCTAAAACCCTAACGTATTTAAAAATTATTACAACTAAGAAGAAAAGATCAATAATATAATTATAGTTAAATAATTCATTTTTGTAAGATAAAAGAAATATAGAAATTAAATTATTTGTAAATAAAGATCAATTCAATGAAAGACAAATAAATGTAACTATATGTATCCAAACTATACTGTCTCTAAAGAACAAATTCTAGAAATGTATAAGGAATTTGATTTTTATAAAACAATTTTCATAGCTCTCAAGTCTTAGTTTTGGAATTCCTACAGCTAAATTGTGCAGAGTAATTTGTCTAACAAAATATAATTTAACAAAGGGAATTAAAAGTTTCCATATCATATAAAGGCTCACTATAAAGTGTCTCTGATTGGCCTGCACTTATGACATAAGACATAAATCTACTATAAGTAGATCAATAAATCTGCATAGTGAGTTTTGTAATACTACAAAGCTACAACATTTTAAGAATAATATGGTGTATTATGCAATATGGTTTATGAAACTCATTCAGGTGTTATGGACAGTGAACACTGGGAGAAATAAAGGAAAGAGACAACTATAGATTGAAAATCTATACTCAACCATAAGGAAAACTGAGAAGTCTTTAGGAGACATTACAGTGTCCTAGGACAACACACACAAAATTATCTTTTTAATTTTTCAGGAGGATCACAATACTATTTTATGATTCTAGTGTTAAAACATGAGAAGAAGCAATGTAAATCAATGCAATGAAGATACTTGAGGATTATCGAAATAGGGCCCAGGTGTGGAAGTTAATATTCTAAGGATTGCAGCCTGGTCCACTGGTTCACAATTTTTAATTCATCATTCTCCTCATTATTTACACATGTCAACTGGCAGCTTGCCACTCATAATGTATGCATAAAGACAATAGCCATATAATTAGCTGTGGATGACCTGTTTTGGATGAAAATCTCTTCTCACCATATCAGAAATATTTACTTAGAAGCAAATATTTTGACAAAAATTTGTTGGGATGAATATAATTGTGTCTACTAAACTACATTCAAAGCCCAATGTACCCAAATACTACATCTTTATTGTTATTAACGGAGTTTGGTAATAAGGACATATACATTATTTTCTATAAAGAATTTAGTAGTGTTAGAAGAAAACATTTGCACCTATTTTAAAGAGAATTATAATACTGACTTTCAGGGACTAAGAGTTGACTATAGTTCCCTTTTACTTCATGTGCAGTTAGAATTCCATGTGCACTATATTTCATAGTAGATTTTAGCACAGGATCCAGATGTTCCTGACACATCTGTTTTTATACCTTTATATAAATGAACTTGAAAATGATCCTGGCAGCTCCAGAGACTGCATTAGTCACAATAAAAGGTACATATTTTTGCCTTGTCTACATGGTGATCATCTATGTATAACTAGATGTTGAATAACTAGTCATTTTTTTATGTGGCCTTGAAATATCGTTGTTTGCATACCCCTGATTTGCTATGCCTGGCCATCTGGTTATGGATGAAAAGCTGTAGCTACTTTGTTTTCTTTTGTTTGTCTTTGTCTAAAAGGAATTTTTAAATATTACCAATACCAAATGTTCTATGATTGTTTGTCCTAATAGTTTGTAATAATTTTAAGTTAATTCCAGGTTGTTTTACAATACATTTCTAAATTAAGATGCCATTAGAGTTTTAGCTAGTGTAGTAAGTGGTAGAATTAAATACAATGTGTTGATGCTTTTATAGATGCTGTATGACAAACATAATTTCTTAATAACAGTGTGAAACTGTAGATTCTACCACCTGTTCTTTTACCAGTAGACACGGGCTTGTGGTTAAATTCTTAGGCAAAACAAATAAATATTTTGTGGAAAATATAATTATTGCATTTGTTGATCTGTGAAATTTAAACAATGTGTACATGTCTTTATATCCCATTAGTATATTCCTAATAGTTGGGATAAGTGTGTTATCAATTTGTAAGATGATAAGAATTAAATAATTTTAGATATTATAATAGAAATCAAGAGTATAAGAAATGCAAATTTTACAATTTAAGCAAATACATAGATAGTAATTTACATATGAGTTTGAGTATTATTTGAATTAAATGTTTTTATTTTAATATAAACATGTGTAAAACGTGTGGAATTCATTAAATGCTGCTCATATGGAGTTAAAAGTTTGGATTTACTAACATATTGTGACGCTCATGTTGGAAGAAGACTGATTTTCCCTTTCTTAACACTATCAATCGCATATAGAATTTTATCTACATGTTTAATGAAGCTTTGTATGAGGTCTCTTACCCACATTGATATGTCATTTTTCCCATCTATTTTAGGCAATGATATTTTTAGGCTGACATGGGTACAGGTTTCCTGACATTTGCAGCAGAAATTATCTATATGAATATGGAATAAAAAGCAAATCAGGTTTTGAACAGTAAAACTTGGACAAAATGTGCATTTCACTTTCCAGTGATGCATTGCCTTTGTTCTTTTTCAATTTTAAATATTTTTAAGGGACCATGTACCACCATGAGTCTTAGCCTGGTCTTAAGTTCCTGAATTTTTTTAGTCATCAAGCTCCATCTTCTTTAATTTAATATCATTTATGTAATTATTTAGATTATTTTAACTAAATTATTATCAGTAATTCTTGCTTGTACATTTGTTTTCATTTATGGACTTAGCCACAGCTAAATGTGCTTTTTATTCCAAGTCATTACCTTGTTATCTTAAAATGCACCCTTAACATACAAAGAATATTGTAGATTTACTGGAAATGTAAATTAGTAGACTGTACTTAAAGTAAAGCCTTGAGGCCAGGCAGTGGTGGCGCACACCTTTAATCCCAGTACTTGGGAGGCAAAGACAGGCGGATTTCTGAGTTTGAGGACAGCCTGGTCTACGGAGAGTTCCAGGACATCCAGGGCTACACAGAGAATCCCTGTCTCAAAAAAACAAAACAAAACAAAACAAAAAGCCGTGAGCAAATCTTAATACTAGGGTAATAATTGATGCTCCAGAAATAACAGATATTTTAGCCTTTTTGAATAAGTTCATATCTTATAACGATCTATAAATAATATCTGTTCAACAATCCTTCAGCTGATTTTCTTCCTTAAGAAGGTCCCAAATAACACATATGCAAAGATCTGGCGCAGACTCACCCGTGCTTGTCACTTCAATCTTTTGCTTGTTCTTGAGACATTTTTTCTCCTATTGGGTTACCATATATAGCCTCAATAGGAGGGCAGTTGCTCTGTCTTATTCCATCTTGTTTTGTACGGTTTGACTGTTGTCTTTTAAAGGCCAGCTCTATTCTGAAGAGGAAAGTGAGGGAGAGTGAATCTCTAGAGGTGGGAGGAAAAAAAAAGGGTCTCCATTGTTTTACTCTTGTCAATCATATGAAAATTTTGAAATTATGGTAGGCTTCTAGCAAAAATACATTAAATATATTGCTAATTTACTTGAACCAACCTCTCCTCATGGTTTTAAATCTCAAGTCAAATAACACTATATTCTTTCTATCCTGGCAGATTTTGTCCTGATAATTATGGCTGTTATCAATTTTTTTCAGATTAGTTAGTGGAGATGGATACATCAATATCATGAGATGGATATAAACTGATTTTCAAGATTTTCAGATAGTTATTGCTTAACTCACTGATTCAAACGAACATGATCAATGTACATGTCCACATGAGGTCTTAAAGTCAAACACAGAAGTTTTAACTTTTCTATTACAGTAGGAGTTGCTCGTTATCACGCAATGCAGACAAACACATTCAGGAACTACTCTGGTTCTCTTTTGACTACCTTGAAAACTTCCTTCTAATTTGTATCATCTTAACTATTGCTAAACACAAATAATAGTATTTGTAAGTTTCATTCTACTTTTGCAATGTGCATTATCTGTTTGTATGAAGGTACCATGATGAAGTATATCATTATGTACATAAAATATACACTAATAGAAAAAATGAGTTTAAAAATACTGGTGACACACTTTTTCCTACTTTTTCTGGTCAAGTAACTTGGGCTTTCCATGAATGGGCAAGGGTTGTTTCCTATTCCATAAAGCTAAATGACAGTATTTTCTTTAAAAGAAAAATAGGACGCGCTGTCCGCCAGCAGGTGGATGTGCTGCGACATGTCCGCCCCAATGCCCGCCGTTGTGCCTGTGGTTATTTTCCTTCACGGATTGGGAGATACTGGGCACGGATGGGCAGAAGCCTTTGCAGGTATCAAAAGTTCCCACATCAAATACATCTGTCCACACGCGCCTGACATGCCAGTCACATTAAATATGAATATGGCTATGCCTTCTTGGTTTGGTATCATTAGACTTTCACCAGATTCCCAGGAGGATGAATCTGGAATTAAACAGGCGGCAGAAACTGTAAAAGCCTTGATAGATCAAGAAGTGAAGAATGGCATCCTTTCTAACAGAATTATTTTGGGAGGATTTTCTCAAGGAGGCGCCTTATCTTTATACACTGCTCTCACCACACAGCAGAAACTGGCTGGTGTCACTGCACTCAGTTGCTGGCTTCCACTTCGGGGTTTGTTTTCACAGGGGTCTATCAATAGTGCTAATCGGGATATTTCTGTTCTCCAGTGCCATGGAGAATGTGACCCTTTAGTTCCTCTAATGTTTGGTTCTCTTACTGTTGAAAGACTAAACGCATTGGTAAATCCAGCCAATGTAACCTTCAAAATCTATGAGGGCATGATGTACAGCTCATGCCAGCAGGAAATGATGGATGTCAAGCACTTCACTGATAAGCTCCTACCTCCAATTGATTGACATCACTAAGAGGCTTTGAGTTAAAGCTCACCAGCATCACAGTAGTGATCCCATGACTGATCATAAAACTTCTAATGTTTGCAGTGTTAAAAATGTTTTGCAAATACATACCAATGATACAGACTAAATGATGTCTCCCTCATGGGAAATGTATGATCCTTTTAAGTTTCTATGCATATATTTGTATTATACCATTCAGAATATACTAGTATTACAGTAGGTAAGTGAAGCAACTAGCTTCTTTGTCTCAAATTAATCAGCAAAATAAGATAACACACGCGGAGTTTTATTACAGCATTTGAAATTTACTAGTCTGAAAATGTGTTCAGGTCTAAACAAGCTGTTAAGATTTAAGTGACTGCTGGGCGGTGGTGGCACACGCCATTAATCCCAGCACTTGGGAGGCAGAGGCAGGTGGATTTCTGAGTTCAAGGCCAGCCTGGTCTACAGAGTGAGTTCCAGGAAGCCAGGGCTACAAGAGAAACCCTGTCTCGAAAAGCCTAAAAAAAAAAAAAAAATGATGTAAGTGACTTCTCAATTCTGTGACTTAAACTATAGTTTTACTCCACGATTGTTCAATAACCATGCAGTATCTGTGTTTGTATGTTTACATTCATACATATGTGACTGTAATACCTAAGAAAAGTAACTAATCAGATGGTATTACATTATCCCTAGTAATAGGGGTAATGCTTTTAAGTGTCAAAAAGTAATACTGCTCTCTTCAATTAATGGCCTTTCTACTGGGGAACCAGGCTTTTTTCCCCTTCTGTGTAATTTTTCTCCTCTCAAGAAAAAAAAATAGTTTCTTTGTTTTATTTTTTCCATAGAAAACTAATATTACCTCTCTTTCATTAAAAAAAAAATCAGTCACTATATATTATTTGGCATTTTGACACAGACATACAGTATTTCCGATCTAGGTAATGTGAAAAGAAACCAAACATTACTTAAGGTTACATATTTCAAATAACTGCACCTTAGTCGAACTTTAGGCTACAGAGTTATCAGAATCTTCAGTCCTGGTAATAATTCTGTGGTTTTATTTTTTTGTAAAAAACTTAAAGGGTAAATAATATGTTGACATATTTAGACATACTAGTGACTGGTATTACAATATAATTTCTTAAACATCTTATAGAAGAATTTAAGTTTACATTTTCTTTACATGTTATGCTTAAAACCAAATGCTGTTCAAGATGAGCAATCGGACTTTTATTTTTATCTGGGTAACATACAAATTTGAAATTTTCATCTTAAGTAAAGGAGCTTTTGATAATCAGTTTCCTGTACACAAATTAAAATAACAATCATTTGATTATAAATCATAAACATGTTCAAAATACTGGTGAAAATTATTTAATTTATGGGTAATAAGAATTGGTTAGAACATATTAAAACCCATATTTATAACTGTTACCACATTGTTGAATATGTTGCAAAAATTATGGCTATTTCTGAACGGTTGCTTTTCCTGCTTTTTTCCAACCAACCAAAAAGAAGTACCTTTATAACTGATGCTAACTGATACAGAGATCATTTTGGAATGTCCTAGATAGAATGTTAACAATGAAGCTGAATGTTAATGTCTGGATTTAAAACAGTTTCAAACAATCATTTACTAATTTGCTTAACTTTGAAGAACATAAATTTACTTCAGTTATTCTATCTGGAATGATTTAATTGGGATAAGAAATATTACGTTGAATTTGTATTCTGCAATGTGGGAAAATGTCATATTTTTCACAGTTTCTATTAATTTGAAATAAAATTTAATTTTGGCTTAAAAAAAAGAAAAATAACAAAACTTAAAATTTGTGTAGTACTATGATTACATAAATTAATATATGATATTATATTGTTTCCTATCTCATTATGCTTTCAACACTTGAGGTAAATATGTCAAAAAAGGCAAACTAAGCCAGACTGATGGAAAATATTATTGCTTCAAACTGTTATCTAGGATTAACCAGAAGCACACATTATGTCAAATATCATTTTCCCATCATTGTGATGAGAAACTAAGATTAATTATTGGTTATTTCTTCCTTCTCTTAATAATTGATGTATTCTTAAGCAAATTTAGAGTTTGTTTAAAGTAAAAAACTTCCCAGTACAAAGATATATCAGTGAATCAAAAATACTCTCCAAGAACCCAGTATATGGAAGATGAAGGGAGGGGATGAGAAGAAAAAGGGCCTGGAATTTTAGACTGATTTTCTTCATTATCCTTAGGTATATAGGTGTAATAACAATGTCCAAACTGAGAATAAAATGTTGTAGAACACAGTTTTCAACTAAACAGCATTTTATAGTTTTGAAATTAACTAATAAATAAAATTTCCATATAATATACAGGCAATAACAACAAATTAGTAACCAAACATCTTCTTTATTCTAGGGAAGATTGCAACCTAATTCTAAATAACTCCAATGAATACATGTATAAAGAGAAAATATCTCATATCATTAAGACAGCTTCAGCCAGTGGCATGCTGCAGATGGTTAGGACCCAAGTCACAGACAACTGGGATTTGCAGTCTATAACATCGGTGTCTGCCAGGGACAAGGATTTCTTCTTTGTTTTATCAATGAGCTCTAGACTCCTTTGCAGGTCAGACCACAGGGAAAGGCTGACAGTGAGCTGCTGCCAAGGATACACAGAAAAGCACTCACCCTGTATTTAAAGGACCCAAGAGCTGCAGATAGACAGTACTCCTGCCTCTTCTAAGTAGCATGTATAAAAAGACATCTGATTTAGCAGTTCTGACAGCCCACAGGAAAACTCAACCCAAACAGAAACAGAATATTGAAAAATTAAAAAAAAAAAAAACAAGAGAGCATCTCTCATTCTTAGGTTTAAGAAAGTACAGTATGAAGTCTGAATTGCCCTGAAAATACATATTCTGTTCATTTATTTAAATGCATCTCTTTATTTAATTTACCAAAAGCATACATGTTTGTGGAATTACTGAAGCAGATATTCCTTGATGCTATAAAATGGCTGTTCTTGCAGAGAGAAATATAATGAAGTCTAAAAAGGATCTAAACCGATGGTTAAAAGGCTTTATGGAAAGTGTGGGCTTTGGAATTCTGAGCATTTATATCTAAATGTGCTTGGCTAATTATCAGAGATAAGAACTTAAAAAAAAAAAGATTTACTAACATTCTACTACTCAGCTGCTATGACTGCAAAGTACGGGAAGCACATGTTCAAATGGGTGTTGCCATTTATATTCCTTCCTTTTCTAATTATTTTGCAAATAATAGCAAATAAAAACAATCATTTTTATTATGAATTCGTGGTCATTAAAGGCAGATTTAATCCATCCATAAGTCAGTATTTGTTTTTACTTTTTTTTCAATCATATAAAGTCAACCTATAGCCTCCTGTACTCGGTAAAGCACTCCACATACCATTAAATTACCTCCACCTTTCTCTCCTTACTATTTAATTTAAGACAATATAGGAATCTCTGAGGCAATTGGTATACAGAGTATGGAAATTTAACTACTGCTTCTGTTTCTCTTGTGGTAATAGTTATGTTGAAATTGTTTATTTCATCTTGTCTTTATTAACAAGGTAATATACATCAAGAAGTTCATCTATTTCTCAGTATTGTAGAATACAGAATTTTATAGTATGTCCTTAGAATTTTGTGACTTTTCTTGATGCCTGCTACAATGCCACCTCTTTAATCTCTGATGATATTAATTTGAATCATCTCTCTTGATTAGTTTGGAATGTGTTATTAATCTTTTGTATTTTCTCAAAGAACCAACTAATTATTTCACTGATGCTTTGAATCTTATTTGTTTCAATCTTGTTGTTTTTAGCTCAGTGTTTGATGATTTCCTCCTACCTAATATTTTTGAGTTATCCCTTTTTCTAGAGATTTCAGGTATGTAACTGCATTATTAACATATTGTTTGTACATGTGTGCTTCTTGTGTATATTTTATATTATGGCTTCTTTTATTTTTAGTTTTCTTGCTTTCTAAAGAGAGAGAAAGGAAGAAAGGGACACACAGTTGAGTGATGGAGTGATAAAAAATAGTTGGAGTGTATTTGGAGGAAGAAACATTATTATAGTATACTGAATTTAAAAATAACCTTTTTTTAGCAACTCAAACAACCTCTCCAGTCCCTTTGATATAGACATTTAAAGATATAAACTTACCTCTTAAAACTGCCTTCATTCTGTTTTCTCCATGGTTTGGGTGTATTGTGTTTAAATTTTCATTCACTTCTAAAATGTTTTTAATTTTATTCTTGATTCCTCCCTTAATAGAATTTTCATTCAGTAGTGAGCTGTTCATCTTATACAGTTTTCCACCACTTTTATTGTTGTTGAAATCCAACATTGCTCTATTCTGGTCAGATATGATTATGGATATTATTTCAATATCCTTGTATTTGTTGAGATTTTCTTTATTTCCTAACATGTAGTCGATTATGAAGTAGGTTCCATTGTCTTCTGAGAAGAAAATATATCCTTTAGCATTTTGTGGAATTTTCTTTAGCTATTTGATCCATTTAATTTATGATGTTTCTTAAATCCAAAATTTCTGTTTAGGTTTTCTCTAGATGACCTATCTAATAGCAAAAGGAGGGTATTAAAGACAACTTATAAGTCTTTACTTTAAGGATGATCTCTAGGCACCAAAATTTATCTCTTCTGAAACCACTCGAGCAAGTGTTCAACAGTTAAGTCACCCACAGCACCACTGCCTTTCATATCCATAGAAATACAGCTAAATAAGCCACACTTAAAGCCACTGTTTCTGGAATCCAAACTCCTCAAATCCACATACCTCCAAAAGAAAATATGCTCAAGCCTATCACAGCAATACCTGTCTCCTGGGACCAACTTCTGTTTTAGTTAGGGTTTCCCTTGCTGTGAAGAGACTCTTCTAAGTCAACTCTTCTAAAGAACAACATTGAACTGGGGCTAACTTACAGAGTCAGACTTTCCATCAATTACCATCAAGGTGGGAATA